GCTGATTTTCCAGATCTTGTACGAGAGAATACAATTAGCAAAGATACATTCAGAGAGGAAATCGAAAGCTCCAGATAGCACATCTACTGATTCTTATACCAGGTGGTTTATCTTCTAAGCATTATTACTACTTTTTAATTGAAAACAGTTTTTTTCCTAACTAATATTTGGAAGCATAGGTTCATGGATGCCCTTTATAATTTACTTGATGGCTCTAGCGACAATACAAAGTTTGAAGATGAATGCCGAGCTATTATTGGAGCACAATCATATGTTCTCTTCACATTGGACAAGCTAGTTCAAAAGTTTGTTAAGCATGTAAGCTTCGTTTTTATTTTGTTATTGTCTTGACTCTGCTTTGTTCTGCACTAATCATTGAAGTGGCTTGGACATGCTTCAGCTTCATGCAGTGGCAGCGGATGAGACAGACACCAAGCTTCTGCAACTATATGCATACGAGAACTATAGAAAACCTGGAAGATTCTTTGATATGGTGTACCATGAGAATGCTCGAGCCCTTCTCCATGATCAGAACATATACAGAATTGAATATGTATGTTTCTTTTGATATGTTTGGACACCTGTGTATATGTTCTCACCTACTAATCTATCCTTGCAAATTTCTATGCAGTCATCTGCCCAAACCCGTCTCTCGATTCAACTTATGAACAGAGGGAATGATAAGCCTGAAGTTACAGCTGTAACAGTGGAACCAGGTTTTGCTAATTATCTACAGAATGACTTTCTCTCGTTTGTCAGTGATGAAGAGAAACCCGGACTATTTCTGAAGAGGTGAATAAAGCAATGATAAGCGCATAAATATTTATTGTCTTCAGTTTTGCAAGCACAGTTAGTAATCATCTTAGCATACTCTTTACAGGAACAAGGCGAAATTAAGCGGTCCGGGTGATGAATCTTCAGGGACGTCGCGTGCAATGGAAGGACTAAAAATTATTAATGAGGTCGAATGTAAGATAGATTGCAGTTCTTTCAAGGTAAATACTTGCTTGAGAATCTCTTGCACTGATAATATTTTTTCTTTTCATGTGTATACGATTGATGAGAATTTACAACTGTCATTAGGTCCAGTATGAACCAAACACAACAGATATTTTATATAGAAGAAAGCAGAAGAAAGCAATACTGAATCCAACTGGGCCTGAAAATGTTAAAACTTCTGATAGTATTGAACTCTCGAGAAAGGAAAGAATATCGCGCTTTCACAAGAGTCTTAACCGCAGACTTGTTGCTTTGCCTTAATGCAAGAACGTCGTAAGTAACCCTCTTGCAGATTAGCCTTTATTTGCATGTGGTGATCAATATTGCAAATCATCTAATTCACGATATATTGTGCAGGTGTGAAGTTCTTTGCTGAGATATGCAAGAATCAGTAGTAGTAGAGAGACTAGAGAGACAAACTGTCTTTGACAAAGATTCTTGCATCATTTTTGGCCAGAGATTCACATAGCAGCAACCATAGTTTCTATCTTCTAAACTGCATCTGGAGCCGCCAGTTTTGCTGTGTAATGTTAGATAATATTTTATATATATATAAGGGTGATGCTAAAATCGGATATTTTTAGTTCATTCATTGAACAATTGTTGAATATTTCTTTCTATTTTAATAATCTCTTTAATCACATGTTTGTTTATTTATTTTGGTTTATCCATTTGATTATTTATATTTGGTCAACTCTATTTGACCAAAGCCTTTCCATTTCTACCACATTTGATAATTTTTTTCCATTCATGCCACATATGTGGTATTGTGGTATAAAAAGACGGTTTTGCCCTCAGCTGATGTGGCAGATAAAATGTAACATTTAGGGACAAATATCTGGGGGACAATAAACCTATTCGGGGACAATAATTAAACAAAATGAAAAGACCGCAATTAGAATTTAGGAGAACTAAAATCGAATAACAATGAATTAAAATCGAGAGACAAAAACTAGCTAACATGCCAAAATAAGATGAAATTTTGGAGGATTCAAACTTCGGGGACAATTGTATGTAAACTTCTTTTTGTGTGCTCAAACAATAAATTTTGTCTCCGAAATTTGAGCACACAAAATAAATGGCAAAATGATCATTACACACGACAATTGTGGTATAAGTGATAAATGAGCCTGCAATGTGGTAGAAAAAAAAAAAGAATTGGACCAAACCTGGCATAGATGTTAATTTTCTCTATCTTATAATCACATTTTAAGAGAAATGAATATAGATTGATTTTGTATTTAGCTTTTAATAAATTTTATCACAGGTGTCACGTGACCCACGTGAGGATGTGTACGGGAAAACCTTCTTATCCTTTCAGAGTCTATAATATTCGGATCGCTCTCGCTTCTTCACTGAAATTGTCCTCTCAGTTCCTTCGCGAAGTTTTCAACAGATTCGCCGGAAAAATCAACGGTGGAGGATGGCTTTATCACGCCTCACATCACGATCCAACATCATCACTCGTCCCTTCTCCGCCGCCTTCAGCCGATTGCTCTCAACGGACACAACTCCGATCACAATCGAGACTTCGCTTCCTTTCACAGCTCACTTATGTGATCCACCGTCACGCTCCGTCGAATCATCGAGTCAAGAGCTTCTCGATTTCTTCCGAACCATGGCGTTGATGCGACGTATGGAAATCGCAGCGGATTCGCTTTACAAAGCGAAGCTAATCCGAGGGTTTTGCCATCTCTACGACGGCCAAGAAGCTGTAGCTATAGGCATGGAAGCTGCGATTACAAAGAAAGACGCGATCATTACTGCTTATCGTGATCACTGTATTTTCTTAGGTCGTGGTGGTTCGCTTTATGAGATTTTCTCAGAGCTTATGGGAAGACAAGCTGGTTGTTCTAAAGGGAAAGGTGGATCTATGCATTTCTATAAGAAGGAATCGTCGTTTTATGGTGGTCATGGGATTGTTGGTGCTCAGGTTCCATTAGGTTGTGGTATTGCTTTTGCTCAGAAGTATAATAAGGAAGAGGCTGTGACGTTTGCTTTGTATGGTGATGGTGCTGCAAATCAAGGACAGTTGTTTGAAGCTTTGAATATATCTGCTCTTTGGGATTTACCTGCTATTTTGGTCTGCGAGAACAATCACTGTAAGCATTTTTTGCTTATTCTTTCTTTGTTTTTAGGTTTCTCATGTGGTAGGAGTATCCGATTGGATTTGATTTGTGTAGATGGAATGGGAACTGCTGAATGGAGAGCCTCTAAGAGTTCATCTTACTACAAGCGTGGTGATTATGTTCCTGGACTCAAGGTCAGCTTTTGAATCTTATTTGTAACTAGGATTGATGCGTGAGGCTTGTTAAAATGAGAAAGGGAAGTTTTGATTGGCTAGATGGATTAGTGTCATTTCATGAATGATAGAAGTTTCTTAGTTTCCATATAGTAACAGGTAGAATGCAAGTATAAGTAAAGTGCTACTACACAGCTTTTATTTATAACTCTTTCAGTTTAGAGATGGAATGTGAATGTCTTATGGATAATGATGTCATGAGTCCTGTATTGTTGATAGAGCCATGGAGCATCATTTACCTTGTTCTGATTGGGTTTCTTGTAACCTGCATTAAGTTATCAAGTTTCTTTCGAGTTTGACCGGTTGGTGGTTTGTATGGATAAACAGGTAGATGGTATGGATGCATTTGCTGTCAAACAAGCTTGCAAATTTGCTAAGCAGCATGCGTTGGAGAAGGGACCAATAGTAAGTTTGTATTTTAGTATTATCATATGTTATTTTTTTTTCCCCTTTGGTCATGACTCGGCGCATTTGAGAATTTGCTATGAATAGTATCTAGCGATCCTGTCGGACTCGAAGTGTTTTTCTTTCTTGTTGCATTTTTTAGTTGATATTTACTTTCCTTCAGTTCCTCTTCTTGGACATTGCATTCCAGCAGCTGAATATTGATGGGGTGGGCGGCTGGTTCTTTCTGTGCTGTTTTTAACTTTTTATATGCAGTACAAATTACACTCTATCAATGTATATCAAAGAAGTAGCTTTGGTTTCCAATTTATTTCCTGGTGTTTCTTCTTTTCCTATCATAGAAATTACAGAACCATTGAAACATCATTTCTTCTATACAGATTCTTGAGATGGACACATACAGGTACCACGGTCACTCCATGTCTGATCCTGGGAGCACATACCGTACACGAGATGAGATATCTGGTGTGAGGCAGGTTCGTTAGTCTCTTTACCTGAACAAACTATTTCTTGGTTGAGAACTCGGTTATTGTGAATCTCAAAACATTTATGTGCTACTCTATATGACTCAGGAACGGGATCCAATTGAGAGAATAAAAAAGTTGGTACTATCTCATGACCTAGCAACCGAGAAAGAGCTTAAGGATATGGAGAAGGAAATTAGAAAAGAAGTAGATGACGCCATTGCCAAAGCTAAGGTAAAACAACAGTTACATAGCTACTTTCTAAGCATAAAACTCGAGACCCTTATTCGCAAGTCTCTGTACTGTTTCAGGATTGCCCAATGCCAGAGCCTTCTGAGCTTTTTACCAATGTGTATGTGAAAGGATATGGCACCGAGGTATTTACTAATTACAAATTCTGCCATTTGCATTTTGCAACATGCCTCTTAAACTATAGTTAATCTTCCCTATTGACCCTTTTGTTTTCTGTTGGCAGTCATTTGGACCTGACAGAAAAGAAGTCAAAGCTTCGCTTCCATGATCATGAATCGCTTGTTCGTTAAACTGCCACGTGTCATGAGACAGTTGGCTGATGATAGGAAGCTATGAATAAAGATCTTATTGTATACTATTACTCTCTCTGTCTCTCCTCTTCTGAGTTTTAATCTCTCTGTATCTTTCTTTATATACATAAGGAGAAACATGTTATTATTGTTAAGCTTTTGTCGTTGTGTCTACATTTGCTTTTAATAGAGTCTCGTGTTTAATATTCAAGCAATTGAGAGTTGATGTCATTTTTGCTGCACTCCAAATATAACAAATTGAATTACAAAAAAAGACCAATCAATGTTAATGGGTTTTTTTTCTGTTTGTATTCTTCGTCTTTCCAAAAAAAAAAAAAAATAGAATTCAACTTTGGATTAACTAATCCATGAACCCAAAACAAAATCAACAAAACAAGTAAAAATTAAAAGAACCTAAAGAATTTTTTTACCAACAAGCTCACCTATCATTCTATATACATAATAACAAAAGTAAATGATCTTCTTCTTTTTTTGGTTATATCAAGATTCTGAGTCTGAGTCACTTGATGAACTGTACCTTGAACTCTCTGACATGAAATTTGGAGGTAGAATTGGAAATCTAACCGCATTCCTTTGCGGTGCAGCAGCAACGCTCGGAGTTTCTGCTGTTGAACTTGATGCTCCAGCTGCTACTGTTGTTGCAGGTCGTTGTTGTTGTTGTTGTTTCCGTTGATTCCTTGCGATCTCACTACAGGCATTATCAACCATCCCTAAGAAATCACGGATTATAACAAAAAGCTGAAATAGGTTCCTCTCTTTTAAGGTTCCAGCTTGGTAATAATTTGTGGTTTTCTTCACTAACTCCATTATCCTGAGCTGTTCCTCGGTAATAACTTTCAGTTCTTCCTCTGCAGATTCAAAGAAAGATCTCAGCTTTGTCAAACAACCATCTTCCTTCCCTTTGCTTTGGTCTAAAAGGCGTTTCGTTTCTTTCACTCGGGTGCCTAAAGCCAAGGTCGTGGCTACAAACGAGTCGTAATCGATTCCAGCTGCTTTCTTCACATTAGTGAACTCTGAACTTAGGCCACCTATAATGGGTAAACCCTGCTTAATAAATTCAATCTCTTGTTCTTCTCTAGATACATTTGCATTCTCGGCACTAGCATTATCATTAGACATCATGTTCTTATTCATCGCAGCTCGCTTTCCCTCAGACCTTACAACTTCTTCAACAACAAAATGAAGTAAAGTAGTTTTCCCATCAACACTCTTCACATCAGACAATTTTCTTAGAGCTGTCAGATTGAAAGCCTGAGCATTTCCCCTCGCGGTTCCAGCGTTCATTCTATTACCTGCTTTCAAGATTGCTTCTAGCAGCTTCATGAATAGCCCGCGAGCACGGAGCTCGTTGCACGCGGATTCAAGTGTTTGTAAAGATCCCTTTTGTTGAACAACCTCAGAGCCGTAGTTAATCTTGAAGAGCATGACGTTGAACCGGTTAAACGCAGAAGGAACTGCTCGTAAGATGTGAAACAGTAGAGAGTCTGCATAAGCCAATGTCGTCGGTTCACCATCGAAATCTATGATTTCTGTCTGTTCTTCTGGCGTTGGAGCTATTCCTGCAAGCTTCTCAAGGGTATCAGACTCAGCATCATGACCTTCTGTTAACAAGTCAATGATCTCCTCCTTATTCATCCCCAAAGATTTAAGCACAATTGCTTTGTTCTGGGATTTCCGAGGATCGAGGATATAAGTCTGATTCTGCGGAACACTGTTTGAGACATTCGGATTCTGCGGTACACTGTTTGATTCACTTGGTTTTCGAGCAACGTATCCAAACAGAGCCTCCATGAGATCACCATCAAAGCTATACAAGAAACAAATATAAAACGCATAAGAACTCAAAATCATCCATTACTTAAGAATATCACATCCCACATTATATAGACTTTAGTGAAATGTAACCATATACTTACTTGAAGGAGCCACCATCAATCCGGTGCCACACCATAGAACGACTCGCATCAGGGTTCATCTTATCCCAATGTAGCGGCTTGAGCTTTGGCTGCGTCGGATCCTCAGCTTTGCCTACGGCCAATGAAGTCTCACCTGACTTTGTCGGACCTTTAGTATTACCAGGCGGTTTAGGTGGGCCCTTCTTCGACATTGGAGGCGGTGGTGGCGGTCCAGCTCCTTTCTTACCCGGTGGAGGAGGTGGTGGTGGCGCAGCAGGTCCTTTTTTAGGCGGTGGAGGTGGAGGTGGTGCCCCAGCAGACGCCGGAGGCGGTGGTGGTGGTGAAGTTTGGTTTGCTGGAACAGGCGGTGGCGGTGGAGCATTTGCTGTGGTGAATTGACCCGGTGTCAATGTAGACAATGGCGCATTTACCGCCATGTATTGGCCCGGAGGAAGCGGAACAGACGGTGTTGATGTAGACAATGGCGCATTTACCGCCATGTATTGACCCGGAGGAAGCTGAACAGACGGTGTTGATGTAGACAATGACGCATTTACCGCCGTGAATTGACCCGGAGGAAGCGGTGTCGATGCAGACAATGACGCTGTTACCGCCGTGAATTGACCCGGAGGAAGCGGTGTCGATGCAGACAATGACGCATTTACCGCCGTGTATTGACCCGGAGGAAGCGGTGTCGATGTAGACAATGACGCATTTACCCCCGTGAATTGCCCCGGAGGAAGCGGATGTGGCGGAGAACGGCCGCCACCACTATGGATCTGCGACGGAGAAGAAGGAAATGAACCGCCGCCAGGAGCTTGAAATTTAGATTGAGATTGTTTCCCAACACCACCATAATCACTACCAGCGCTTGTAGCATAAGAAGTTCGTGACGGCGAAGCAGCAGATGTAGAAGAAGAAGAAGGTCGTGACGGTGAAGCAGAAGAAGAAGTATAATATCTTCCTCCTCCTCCACCTCCACCTCCACCTCCACCACCATTATTACTCTGATCTCTAATTTCACCACCTGAAGGAGATTGAGATTTTTTCGTATGAAACGAAAACGTCTCTTCGATAGATTCATCATCATCGTCGTCGTCGTCTTGATCTACTCCAGTTCTTCTAAATCCGTCACCGGATTTATCTCCTCTTCTTCTAGGTTTAGGGTTTTTTCTAATTTTCCCGCTATTTTCCAACTCTAGAAGCTTTTTCCAGTAAATTACATCTAATCCTTCATCATCTACAATAACAGCTTTGAGATTTCCGTCAATTCGAACAAAATCATCCGGGAAGAGAAAACCCCAAGGAGACGGTGGTGGTGGTAACGAATCGGAGCCGGAGCCGCCGTAGACTCTCTCATCTTCTTCTCTTTTTCCACCGCGATCTGAGTGCCGACCACGAAGTTTTTCTTTGATCTTCCTCCGTGAACTACTTCCGTTCTTACGGAAAAGAAAAGACATCGCGGTGGTTTCTTTACCGGAGACTTTATCGGCGTTGACGGAGATAAGATTCACGCGGCGAAATCAGAAGGTTCTGATGTATTTTTTGATAATGAAGAAATGTGTTGGGAATGATTTTTGATGAACATGACAACCATTAATGATTTGATTTTTATGATTTTTTTTTGGTAAAGCAACAAAATAAAAATTAAGCTTTTTTTTACGTGAGATATGGTCCAATGTCAAAAGCGTGGCTAATGTTACGAAAACAACCTCCATTTACTCGGTTTTTTCACGGGTCTAGGCAAGGGCATTTTTGTCATTTGTAGACGCGTTGACCAGGTCGTGAATTTTGGGGGGTAGTGTCCGAATTTGGAATGGAAGATGTCTTCATGTTTGACTTCTTTGATCCAAATCTTCGGCTACGCGTTGACTTTTATGTCTTTTTCGTTAATGTGAAGGCAAAATCAAGTAATGATTTATGTTAAAAGTAAGTTATACATTCATACATTTTTTCTGTTAAAAAATCCATACATCTTTTAAACGTGGCAATATATTTTTTTTATAGTGTTCTAACTATTTAGGGTTGGGCAAAATATTTGGATCCAAAGATCCGAACCAAACTTAGCTCAAAATATCCGAACGGGTTTTAGAGACCAGAAATTTGGGTATCCGAAAAAAATTGATCTGAACGGATATCCGAAAAAACTCGAACCTAACTAACCTATTAATTCTTTTTACCTAGTTTTATGTATTTCATTAAATTTTAAGTATTTTATATAGTTTGGATAGTTCTATTGCTGACATTTCGGTTAATTTAGATACTTTTAAATAGTTTGAGTTTTTTTTTTTTATCGGGGTTTTGGAGTAACTCGAATAATTTTGAATAGTTGGAGATATTTTTAGCTAGTTTTAACTGAACCTGAAATATAACTATAAATTTGAAAATGTTAACTAATTTAAAATCAAAATAATTAAAATACTCAAAATGACCAAAATATCAGGATTTTTAGTTATGTTTATCAAAATTTAACAAAAGAATTTCAAATCTAGCTAATATTTTAAATATTTTGGATATTCGAAGTCAAATAGAACCCAAACCCGACCCAAACATATAAAATATATGAATGAGTCTTAGATATATAAACCCGAATCAAACCCTAATCGATATCCGAACGCCCAATCCTGCTAACCAACCTGTGACCTTTTTGTAATTTTATGCAAATGAGAATAAATGAGAATTGTATTAGTTTTAGTAATGTGGATATTCGGATTCTATTAAAAAAATATTAATTTGGTATAGTAGTTAGACCAAGTGTCGTTAGCTCAACTGGTAAAGATCCTAGACGAAACTTAGAGGTTGTCGGTTCGAGTGACGTTTGGGACAAAACTATTATTACATGATGTAGTTTTGGTTCTGGAAAGTTTATGTGCTTTGGCCTAGAATCTCTAGGTATTAAAAAAAGTGTAAATATTCTAGAAGAAACCGAAAATAATCTGGAAGATATATAGAAGTTGAAGTGTAAATGTAATGTTGGAATGTTTGACTTTTGTGAATCCTTGTTGCTTATCGGTAGTTGAGAAGTAGAGTTATTAAAAACCATTTGGTCCCATCTTCATCTGTTATAAAAGTCGAAGAAGACTTCTCGATGCCTTTTTCTGTAAAAGATTTCGAAATCTTTAGTATTCTTTCTGTTTCGTTTTACTTGTCGTTTTAGAGTTAAAATTTTGTTTCATAATAGTTATCGTTTTAAGTTTTCGATGCAGATGTTTGGTGAAAATTCTAGTTTTATCCCTACTGTTTTAATGTTTCGGCCAATGAATTTTTTTATAAAATATATTATTAAAGAGTAAAATATAAAATTTAATATTTTTCTTAATTTGTGTGAGAAAACCTTAAACGACAACTAAAACAAAACAGAGAGAGTATTTGACACTGATGCGATGATCTTTAATTATTTTAAAGGGTGTATTTAATGGATGACATCAAAATTTTGATAATTATGTTTAAGAATATAGCCAGTTTTGGAATGTTGTTAGTAAAATATTAAATGTACTTGTCTCTCAGATAGCATAGAGCATGATTATCGCAAGTCTCTTAGTGTATTCTTAGCAATAATTGTTAATAAAATTAAATCATTAATTGACTAAAATCTTAAGAATCGTTCCTTAGTTAAGAGCCAAATAACATGCTAAGAGACGCATACGTGGCTTCCTCCTCTCTCTTTTTGCCCCATATTTTTCTCTCTTCCTCCTCTCTCTCTCACGCGTTTCTCTACCATAACGAAACCGAAGGCGATTTGTCTCAAATCAGAAGCAATCGGAGGAGTCTCCGATGTTTATGACCTCCGGCGGAATATCATGAAGAAGAGAGGTCTCGATTCCAATTTCATCATTGATTCGGCTGGAACCATTGATTATCATGAGGTATATTAATAATAATTCTGTTCCGATTCATTTGTCTTTTTGAAATCAAAGAGAAGAACCCAAAATAATCTAATCTTAGGGTTTATGAGATGCTAGATTCATGGTTGATTTGAACAATTGGGGAATGATGAATTTATATGTAAAGAGGTTTGGTTTTGGTTTTAGGTTTTTTGTATTATGTGAAACTGCTCTTATTACTAGGGAAGAACAAAAACAGTAATCTATTTTGTGGTGATTGATGCTTCACTGGAACAATTAGGCAATGAAGCTTTCAGATGTAGAAAGTCTTGATTTTGGATTTAGTGTTTTGGTGGACGTAATCTGGTCGGAATTAGGAGCAGTGGAGACGTTGAAATTCATGTGGTGTTTCTCTAGTTGATTAGAAGTTCTAATGTATATTCCATTGACGAATTCTTGTGGTTTTAAGCTAGTGCACTTTCATGTTTGAGTCTTTCATGTTTTGGTTGATGATGGGTTTGACTAGTTAGAAGTGAACAAGGGGATTCCTAATTTGGGCAAAATCATTGCCTAGAATCTGCTTTGGTCTGAATATACTTGCGTTCTCATTGTTAGAACTTGGTCGAATGGAAGAAGCTGCAGTAGCTTCCAAAAAAGGCTATGAGATAAACAAAGAAGACGCCTGGGCACATCACTGTGTGAGTTTCTCAAACAATTTTACATGACATTGAGCATTTGCATCATTTATTCTCAAGTTCCATTGAACACTTACTTATTTGTTGTAGTTGTGTCATGTTCTTCAACATGAATGTCGGTTTAAAGAAGCAGTGGAGTTCATGGAAGCACTCGCAGAATCTTGGCCTTCTTGCTCATCCTTCATGTAAAGCATGCTCTCACATATTATCAAGCTCTCTTCTTATAATTTAGAATTCCTGAGATTTTTTTTATTAAACATGTATAAAATTGTCAGGTATTATTTCAGAACATTGCCTATAAATATCACAAAGTTTATATACGATGAATTATCTCTTGTCTTAAGTCTATTTTTTCTTACAAACTCACAACCAAAAAATCCAAGTCATTGAACCATACTTTACTCCATAAACAAGTATCATCTTCAATTTCTTTTCACTTCAACTTTTTGTTGTAACACAAATCATTTTCTTCCTAAAAATTCTAAGAGTCTACCATTAATCACACAAAAATCTTAACTAAAAAATACTATCTCTTAACAATCACTTTTACAAATATATTACTCAAATATTGTTAAGAGGTATTTCTAAGATACTACCAATAATCATGCTCTTAGTTGATTAAGACGCTCACGTGTAAGAAAATGGTAAAATTTATGGATTAGTTGTGCTACAGTAGCTTCATATCAAATTATCAATACATGTGAAATGTCACATACTATGTGACAAGTAATGTAATACTATATGTTCAAATTGATGTGTGTATGTATGTATACACATGTACATTTCTGTAAATAATATCCATGCATATGAACAACTTTAATGGATGTTATGTATAATTTGATAAACGACATAATAATGTAAAAATAAAATAAACTTGTTCGTCGACCAACTAGATAGGTGTAGTCTTTTCATCATCAGCCTCATCAGTCCTCATTAAATTATATAAAATATACAAATTTGTATAAAGTCCATTAAATCTATAATATGCTAGTGCTAATTTAACAAAGAAAACATGAAATGAATATCATTCTTTTGGGTGTGATTTTCGTCTGTAGAAAAAAGTGAAATACGAAGCGACGATACGTGGACATAGCACCATCAAAAGAACTTTGATAATTTGTACTTCACAACTTTTTTTTTTTCAATCCTGAAACTACATCATATAATATTAGTTTCGTCCCAAGTGTACTTCACAATTTACACTTTATAATATCGGTTTCTTATACTCAAAACATTATTCTAAGATTCATACGAGATATGATAATTCATCTAATGCACCTCTAGTAATATTTTCTTGAAAACTTGTGTTGTCTGAATCTCTTCTTTTACCTCAAGAAAAATTGAAGAAATAACACAAAAAAAGTTAATATTTAAGTTTTTGACACACAAAGAAACAAGTATCCACCACTCAGCTCGAGATTTGAGAAGTATGTTGTGAATTAGTGGGCCTAGACAAAAGTCAATATGTCTACTAGACCCACAAAATTTGACACCTTACAAATATTGTGCCTTGATGGGCCGAGCAAACGATAAGTGTATGTGTGTTTCTACTTTCTACAAAAGGTCCATTGCTGTCATTGTTTAAAATGCTGTTTATCTTTGATTTTTCTTATGCAAGATTGAAAGATGTTTCATTTGGGTAGTAGAGCTTTCTCAGAGACAACCGCAACTGCTAGGCCGCCTACTGTCTCCCAAAACCAATGATAAACGTTTATATTAACTCATGGTTTCCTCGTCCTTTATCAATTATCATCACTTGTAGATATTACAACTTTTTCGACTCTTTCGGTGACATTTCTTCAATTGCATTTCATACTGATTAAAATTTTTAAACCCCGGAACACTAAATTCATTGCCAGATAGGTAAACCATTTATTAGAGAGCATTTTTAATGTAAATAACATGTACAAACTGTTAGATTATATGTTATGGTTTATTATAAAGATTTACAGCCAAAATTTTGATTTAGAAATAATGAAAAGTGAAATAACATGACTAAGCATATCTTGTTATTTCTTTTGTGTACACTCAAACAAATCACTTACTCTATCATGATATGTACAGCCGACCCAACATTTTGTGATGCTAAACACCTACTAAAATTTGATGCCCGTTTTACTAAAAAAAAAAACAAAAAATTCTAAAATTTGCATAGATCCGGATTCAAACTCGCTACATTCGAGCTTATGAAGAGACAAATACGACTGTACCACTAGAATTTTTTTATAATTGATGCTCCTAAAACTTAAAATATGTTTTGCTGCCTAAAGCACATGTTTGATGGGCTTTAGGTTTGGGCCGGCCCTTGGCGCAATCATAACTTTACAAATATATCTTAAAAAACAGAAATAAAGAAAAAAAACAAAAAGTTTAATGAGAATAGATGTTTGATCTATCAAACGCAAGTGGAGCATATACCATTTTCTGTGTTTTTAGTCTAAAATCTGGTATGCTATAACAAGGGAAGTCTCGTTGTTATGCTAAACTTTATCAGAGAGAATCGCAGAGGCTGGTTAGCGAATACAAACCATAATTCTTCGTTGTTGGACTGTATACTTCTTTGGAGTAGATGATGTACGAAATGGCTTAAAAAATAGTTCCTTTGCGGTTCATAGTCAATAATCGTACACAAGAATAATTCCTTCAATTTCTTGTACTCATGAGACTTTAGTGCATTCCTGACTACTGCACAAGTCTCTACCCCATGGCAGTTTAGGCAAATATCATGGATCTACTGTTAATTTCAAAAAGATTCTTAAAAACAATTTGCCAAAGGCTCCATTACTGAGACGGAGCTGCTGGCTACCTTGAAGACATCTTTCTTAGAAGAAAACTTTGATACACTTGTCAATGTATCTATCCATGTGCTTAGTGTGTACAGTTTTGAAGGGAAATATAGTTTTTTTGTACTCATTTTTTTCCAAACTTGATGAAACCAATGAACATAGTCTTTAAAAGCATTCTGAAGATAAAAAAAAATGCAGACCTGCAATGGCAATTCAATACCACATAAAAAAGGAAGAACCTTTATTCTATCTTTTAAATATATCTTATAAATACCTTGTAGATATTCTTCTTACATACATAACAATATATACTAACAGAATTATATAGCTATAAATTAAAATATGGATACAATCATAAAATATCGAAACTAAGAGTGACTGCAGTAATTTTCAGAACATGCATTGGTTTTTTTGAGCTTTGATGGTGATACATCGACAATACTTATACAAACCGTTAGACTATATGTTATGGTTTATTATAAACATTTATAACCAAAATTTTGATTTAGATAAAATGAAAAGTGAAATCACACTTAGATTGACTAAACAGGCCTTGTTATTTGTTTTGTTTTCGTTTATGTACGTTCAAACAAATCACTATCATATGCCATGTGCAATAAGAAAAACTAAAAAAAAAAAAAATCTAGAAAGCACAAATTGAAGTTGAACAAAGAAAAAGTTGAATGGAGATTTCAAACGCAAGTGGAACATACCACATTTTTCTGTCTTTTCAGTCAAAACTCAAAATCCAAAACAAGAAAAGTAAGAATCCAAAAAGTTGGGAAATTTTGTATTAAAAGCATCATTTGCGACATTCTAAATAATAAAGAGAAGCTTTGCATAAATCTTGTTTAAAGAACTTTTACAAGTTGTTACGAAATGTGATTCACTGTTCTTTTCGCATGGTCTGCATAGAAAACCAATTAAGGAATTGTAGAAGAATAATTGGCCGTACCGCCTTAAGGGGACAAAAACAGAAATCAAAATGGGAAGAAGATAAAAGTTGAATAATCACATGTTTAGAACCCCCAAACGTGGGGAGTATCTTTGAGCTGATTCTGTTGTCTACAATGATTATTTGATTTTGATTCATTGCATTTGCCTCTCAATTTTCTTCAGTATTCAGTGCCTCCTTCCAAGTTCCAATGGGCAATGTAAGGAGGGTCTTGCTAGCTAATAAAATAATGCCGTGCGTTATTATATTATTCGATTTGATTCTTCATTCTAATTAAAGAGAGTTCAAAATACTATACTTCATCTTTATAAGTAGATATTGATATTGTGTTCGTGGTGTGAATCAAAGATATAAGTATGTGTGATTAGGAGCTAAAATGTATACTAAATGATTTTAGTAAACCTCGGTTTAGATATGAATCCTCATAATTTTATGTATTTGGACAACACTTCTTTTCTCCACAAACCTAACTAAAAAACAAATAAAGGAAATTTCTCACCAAGAAATAATCAATACACAAAATAAAATAACATATCACCATGATTATATGTTTTCTTCATCCTCTTTTACTTGCACATATACACGTACATATGCTTCATACATCGTTTTCATATATATGGACTTTTTTTTTACCACATGGCCATGGTTTAGCGACTTGCATGTGAAATATGTGTTCGTAGTCACCAATTAGCCACTACCTATTCAATAATTAAGAAGACCACATATAAATAGCCAACATGTTCAACATAAATTGTTAGTTTTTAATTAAAGGTGTAAATGTTACAAGCCAAGTTTCAATAGTACGTGTAGTTTGCGAATGATTTATACTATTTTGTGTAGTCTTCACTAATAGACAGTTACATTGTTAAAAAAAAAAATAGTATAGTAGATGTAGTTGAAAATATTTATAAAAGCCATGCAGAATATTTGAGAGTACATTTAAAAAAAAAAACTCATAATAATACAAGATTTGGTTGATTGCTATGAAAAAACTAGATTAAAGAAAAGTATCCGCAAGGCGTACATTATTGGATACTATCAAATAAACGCTAATCGCTGGCATAATCTCAAAATTAAGTGATTAGCAGACGAATATGAATACACCTAGAAACAGAGGTAATAGTCACACAATATTATTTATTAGTATTATCTGATTAAAGAAATACTCCCTCCGTTTTCGATGCAAAATTTATTACTTTTTTATTTTTTATACTTATTTTTATTATGCAACTTGATTTACTATTGGTTAAATTATGATTAGATAGATAATTAATGATATTTTTATATTGAAAAACTAATAACATTAATAATTTTTTAATTTATGTGCATATAGTTAAAACGACAACTATTCGAAAACGGAGGGAGCAGCAAATTACTTAATTTTGAAACCATCGAAATATGTGTAAAATTAAATACAATAATTGGTTTTTAAAAATGTTCCTTCGTGGGTAAATGATCCCGCACGTGCAACGAAATAAAAGAGAGAGATCTATAAACTGACGGCGTCAAGTCAACGTTGCAGTCGTTAAAACCTTCAAAGCAGTGTTTAAGAAAGCGCTAGGCGCTAAGGCGGTGACCCAGTGCCTAGCGTCTAGAACGCCTAATCGGAGCCTACGCGATTTTTTAGGCGGTTTAGACGTTTATAACATAAAACATTATAAATATGATATTATATATAAAAGTTATATAAAATATTTATATAAAACTAAAAATTATGAAATTATAAACAAAAACTAAATAAAACATTTATTTATATTTATATTAAACAATATATGAATATTTATAACTATATATATAAATAAAACTCTAATTGAAATTGAAAAAATACATTAAACAAGTTCTATGTAATTTTAGGCGGTCAAGGCGGTTATCTAGGCGTCGCATGAGAACCTAGTGCCTAGTCGGGGCCTAGGCGACCGCCTAGACCGCTTTTTAGAACACTGCTTCAAAGTAAAAAGGTAACGGAGATCATCCTAATCTAACTGTCCAACCGTTTCATCGGCGAGTTCACCGGCGACGTTGAAGATTCCGGCGACATTATCAACGAATCATCGTCAACAACCAAAGATAGAGACGATTCCACCGTTGAGTCCAAAGATTCCATCGAGGATGTGGATGAGAGCGGCGGCGGAGGAGGAGTAGTGAGCTTCCGTTTGTTTCCGTCGGCGGCAACTTTAACGTCTTTAGTCAAGTAATTCCTCAGACGTTTCACGTCGGCGAGCTTCACCGGTTTTAGTAAAAAATCCTCCGCACCTTCTTCGAGACATCTACAACAGATTTATTGATTAATTTCTGATCACCGAAATCTGAAAAAAAATCCGGCGAGAGATTTGACCTGTCGATACGAGTGATTACATTCTCCGACGACATAATTACAACAGGAACTTCCTTAAAACTTGTCGATTCCTGTTTCAGAAAAAGATCAAGAATTGAAAAAAAAAAAATTTAACAGATTTTTTTTATGGCGGGAAAATGAAGAACCTTAATCTTCTTCAAAAGTTCGTATCCAGTCATTCCAGGCATACAATAATCAGTGATGATCAAATCAACCTTCAATCTCTGGCAAAAATCAAGATCAAAATCATAATCAAAATCTAGAATCTCTAAAATGGTCTTAACTGTTTGTAAAACAGAATTTTTAGAGATTACATCGAATTCGACGGCGGCTTTCTTGTCGTCCAATCCTAAGAATTCGAGAGCACGCCATCCGCTATCAACCGCCGTGACTGCATAGAATCACCGCCGTAGAATGAGTTTTTTTTTTTTTTTTGAAATTTTTTTCTGCTAAGAAGAGAGAGGAAGAATTACTTAGTAAACAAACCTTTGCAGGATGTGATTCGAAGCAATCTTTCGATGACGATTCTATCAAGGAGGCTGTCATCAACGGCGAGAACGTGGACCTGATCAGAATCTAACGGTGGAGATTCAAGTTCTCCGATTCCTATACCGATCATCTCTGATCTTCGTAGACAAGAAAAGCCACCGTCTTTAGCCATAGTGAAAAGAGAGTAGGAAATGCTTCTTCCTCTCTACTTTCTTTGTTACTCTCTCTATATGTCAAATCTTTTTATAGGTGTCTTTTAAGAATTAAATAGACGTACCGCTTTTGCTTCTTCCTACTGTTGTGATAGGTAACAATTAAATGGATATACTTGGATTACCAACTAAACACATAACTAGGGGTATGTTACTGATTAATGTGAAAATCCTTCTTTTCGATTCTCACATTTACTATGGTTTTTTTTTTTTTTTTTTTTCTTGGACACATTTACTATGTTCAGAAATTGATTTTGATTTTTTTTATTTATATTTTGATGGACGGTTGAAATTAATCTTTTAAGAAAACACTAGTGCAGAACTAGCTAGGTTCTCTCTCTACCTATAAATACAAACTTTTAGATCATCATAAAAGCTAAATGATGATGAACAAAACCACAACACTTACAACAAAAATTAGTCTTTTTGATTCTCACATTTACTATTCTTTGAAAGAAGCTGAAATATCTTTTGAACAAACAGTCCAGAAAGAGGAGAAAAAAAAAAAAAAACATTTAAAACACATAACTTAAATGGAAATGGTACTTTACAAACTGAAAAGAATTGCATATTCACAAAATTAGGGACAAAAGAAAACATTTATGATGGTTATTAATTGGAAATGCTACTTTACAAACTAAATAATCAAGACATTATTTTACAACTGCCCCTTAATTCACATGAAGTTATATCATATCTCACCGTCCCACATCTCGGTGACAGATTTTATAGAACCGTTCTCTGAGATATAAACCTCTCCGTCAACGATCCTGCTCTGAGAAATCTCCGTCGAAATTCTCTGTTTCTCCTCCTCTGTCAAAGACCAATCAAATATCTTCAGATTCTCTTCCGGCCTCTCTTTCTTAAAGCTCTTCACCACCATGCTCACTCCTTGCTCATAAGCCCATCTCATACTCATCTGTCAATTGTCATTTACAACTCTACAAATGAGCTTCAAATACTTCCTATCCTCAAAATGTACTCACTCTAACATTTGGACTCTACGGATTCACCTAATGCATAATATGTACATAAAATTATTAAAAATAATACAACATTTACGATAGATCACCCGTTTAGGTAAGTAGGTGAATGTACAATATAAACGGGTGATCTATATTCTCCAAACAACTTGAATAATAGATCACCTGTTTTCTCGTAAATGTTAACAAAAAGTTAAAAATATTTTCATCAATAATTTTTAAATTGTCTTTGGAAAGTACCTGTGCTACTGTTTTTCCCTTTGCCACAGCAATTTCTTTGAGAACATCAGACTCCATGATTTTGTGAGTTCCCCAAAAAGCTCCTCTAGATCCCAACACCGAATAAGCTGTCACAACAATGCCTTTAGACTTACAAAGTTCCCTCAGTTTTCTCTGTTGCCAGACTGGACTTATTCCACCTTTTTCATATTATCCACAAACAAATATATCAAATTATTTCACGTATCCAATTTATCCTAGCAAAAAAACGTTGAACTTATAATTGATAAGTTAAACAAGAGAGAAAGTAGATTTACTTGATTGACACTAGGTGGGATTTTGGCAGAGAGGATGTGTTGGAGCTTCTTGCACGAGAAGTTGCTTACTCCTATACACTTTGCAACTCCGAGTCTCTGACACTCTTCCATCTCAGACCATACTGCTTCATAATCCATTGGCAAAAAATCATCTTCTTCAATAGGAAACTTGTATTTACCAGGTTTCGAGCTAACCGGCCAATGAATTAGGTAGAGATCGAGATAGTCCAGTTTAAGAGTTCTACAATACATGATATGAAAATGATGATTAAAATTAAGCATTGTTCTAAAATACGGCCCAAGCATTCATATATACGATGTGACGACATCTTTCTTTCTTTCTTACTTATAATTATTTATTTATCTCGTATCCATTTCAAATTTCTCTTACATCAATTTCATCATAACATTATTTTTTTACAAAATAATATACACTGTATAATTCATATGTAAATGCCCATGTATATGCAGCTAACATTTGGTTTATTTTTGAATATCCTGGAATCTTCATGAATATAAAATTTAAAATTTAGATGATATTTGTTATTTTATTTGTTTTATATATTTAATGTTTTAATTTGTTCTTTATTTTACAATAATGTTTTAGTTCCTATAATAAATTTCCGTCAGTTTGGATACCAAAGGTTATCAACGGATCCAAATTCGAATATTATGAAATTTTAGAATATCCATTCCATGCACACCCCTAGGTACATATTCGAGTTTAATCATCTAGAATCAAAAATGTATATATATATATATATATATATATATATATATCTTTCATGTAATCCATAAATCTAATGTGATATCATTTCTAAATAAAACGGAACTTAAAATCTTACTCCAAACTCTGTTGAATCGCCGGTACAACAAGGCCACCATTCACTTTTTCTAATTTATTCTAAAAAACTTATTAGAAAAGGTGGGTTTCAAAAAAAGTAGGCATACGGCGTACAACATGAACATCAACACAACATAGCTTAGAAGTGACAAAGAGTTCCGATCGAGATTGGACTAAGCCTAGAGAAACTGCTTCCGCCAGAGCTTCGCCGAGCGGCTCCTCTGTCTGGTACCTCGGAGACGTGTCGAAGTGACGATAACCGAGCTTGATGGCCTCCAACACCGTTTTTCTCAACACTATCGGTTCCGGCGGAGGAGACGCAGCCGTTCCTAGAGCTAGAACCGGCATCAAGTGATGGGCAGATCCGATTGAGAACATAAGAGCATCTCCATCGGTCAAAAATTCTGTTGAGTGTCTAACAAATAAAATAATATTAATTTTTTATTATTTAAATATTTTATTATATAATTGTTTATTTAAACCAATCAGAAGAATACAATTGTAAAAATGGGTGTCTCACAATTTTTCAAATGAGAAACGTTTCTGTCCTCTATCCTCCTTTTTTTAATTTTTATTCTGTTTTATTGGAAATTATCTCTCACCTATACACTTTCAATGGTGTAAAAGCTGACATTGGTGAAAAGAAGCGCCAAAAAGTCAAAAAAAAAAGTTTGCTACGAAAAACTCGCTCTCATTGGCTCAAAAAGTTTACTCACTACTTAGTAGCCACTAGCCACCATGGCCACCAAAAAAAAGCAAAGAAAAAAAAGATATCACGAGTGGCCATCAAAAAAACAAAACGAAAATAAAAGGAGCATGTCAGTGATGTCACGTGTGACCCATAACCTTGCTACAAGAGGTAAAACGCACCTCCAATCATTGGTCTAATTTCGGTATTGGGTCCAAGTCACCAGTGGCTCTGAATTTATCCAACGGTATTGGACTATGTTGAGGGAAGAATTGGCTCTCGAAGGAAAAGCCCAATTCAAGTATAGAAGCCCAAGCCCAATCTTAAAGCCTGCTATGCCTAAAGCCTTCGACCGAGCCCATAAAGTCCAAAAAAATCTCGCCGCCAGACGAGCTCTGCCACATCATCAGGATGAAGGGTAAAATAGGTAACTAACATCAAAGTATGCCCTACCCCACCGGTTATAAATACAGAACGATCAGTCCTGTCACATCCATCGGAAACTCGCGCTGACACGACAAATACACACGGAGATCGTCAGGGAATCAAGGAGAGCGCCCGCGACCTCAACGAAGCCGACGGAAAGACCTGAGGCCAACCTCTTGTCAGTTCGTCAACTCTTTCAGCTCGACATTCTTCACTCAACTCGTCACGCAAACGTCCTCTTTTTCCTTTGTGCAAGATCATTCTTTGTAGCTCGTCTATAGCCATTTGCACTCTCGGCTCACATTATTTAGGAGATTCTTTTTACTTCCCTAGAGAAACTCTATTCGTACTTGTGTGATTCGTGCATCAACAGACTATTAGTGTTTTATGGCTTTGTTCGGAACGTTGTTGCTATGGACAATAGAGCAACATGTTCCTTGGAAGTTGGAACACAAGATTGTTGAAAGCATGACGTTGAAATTTCTTCCCGCTCCCGCTGTTAAATATTTTGGTGGTTCCTCGCGCGACAAGAAAACGAACAGGCCATATGTGTATTGTGATTATAATTTCAAATTGATTAATAAGGAGCGAATTCGCTTAGATTTCCCCCGTTTCAAATTTAGGATTTCTCAATAAGTATTGTGAGCCTCCTCTTGTCGTGAATCCAATCTTAGCCAAGTTCAAATACAACTCCGTACTACTGTTACAGTTCCTGAACGCCATGTGGGAAACTTTCAAGAAACGTCTAAAAAAAGTCGATAGTTTCAATGGTTATTTTTTTGTTGGTATCAATGTTAAGTATTTAAACTAATCTCGATTTGAGACATCGATTATAGAGGAAACGAGAAAGGCAGGAAGACCAAAATTAAAAGAATTACGATTACAACAGAAAACATGACAAGAAAAGCACAAGCGACAACAACCAGTAGAGGGTATTTTGTTTATAGATAATTGGAAAATGCTAGTTTATAACAATTTAAATAACCAAGACTAATTTGGCAACTGCCCCAACATTCTTTTTGATTGATTACGTTGTGTCTAAATGATAAATCGTTTATGTTGGAGATCTTACTTATTCATTATTCATTATAAGAGAGTGACAAGTAAATCAATATGACAAATGATGATTGTGCAATTTCACTATGCTATTTTCACGAGAAGTGATCAGATCTCGCCATCCCACATTTCGGCGACGGATTTTATGGGACCTTTCTTGGAGATATAAACCTCTCCGCCGAGGTTCCTGAACTGTGGAATCTCTGTCGAGATTCTCTGTGTCTCCTCTTCTGTCAAAGACCAATCAAATATGTTCAGATTCTCTTCCAATCTCTCTTTGGTAAAGCTCTTTACCACCATGTTCACTCCTTGTTCATAAGCCCATCTCATGCTCACCTGTAATTACAACTCCAAAGTATGAGCTTTAAATCCTTCTAATCCCCAAACCGAAATTGTCAAGTTTTAATATTGAACTCCATGGATTTTGCTAATGTAATACATCTCAAATTTGTCTGTGGGGATTCATGTTACCAAGATAATGACTGATTACCGATGGTCATAAACGCACCACTTTGAAATTATGGGTAATTTGTGTGGCTAACTCAAAGATTGTGTGAAATTGGTAAACAACACCAAAAAAAATTCACAACCTGAAAACTAGTTCTATTTAGAAATGACAAGCCAACTCTGATTAAAAAAAAAAAAAAGACTTCTGTAAAGTTATACTTTTTTTGAATTTTTTTAATATTTAAATTGCATATAACCTCTTTTAATAGAAGCACTACCTCTAACCATAAACAATATATATATATATATATATATATATATATATATATATATATATATAAAGTCAATAATATAAATAAATTTATGCTCAATATCATAGAAAAAAAGTAAATAATTCAACTGTTTTGATATAAAAATCGATTATGTAATTCGACTGTTTGTAAACAAATGAACCGTAAAATAAATAATTCATTGGTAAAATTAAGTTAAGCTTGTTAAAATATCATCCAGCAAAAAAAAAAAGAGATGTTAAAGAACTAAAAATTATGGAGATAAATATGTATATAAATGTTATATGATTTTGGAAACTAAGAGAGAGATAGGAAGTAGAGTTTAGAGAGTGTTTAGAGAGTAGATTTGTTTCTCTTATTACTTCTTCAATATTTTCACCCAATACAACATACAATAGCATCTATATATATACACATAATGATGCATTAGTGGAATAGCTAAGGATGACTAATATTAGGGGGTGGCTAATGGGATAATTATTTATAACACTAGGTAAAAAGGATTCAACAAAGATGAGTGGGTAGGTTTGTGTGATGAATAATCATATATTTTATAACACTCCCCCTTGAGTATTCATCACCATAGATGTATGACGTACTGCCTCGTTAAAAACTTTCTCATAGAAAAACCCATTGGGATAAAAACCATGACAAGGAAAAAATAGTACAGTAACACATACTCCCCCTGGAAAAGACAGATATAATTTTTTCCTCAAAGATCTCGTAAATGACGCATTCCAATACTCTGAATATGTTTTTTGAATGATGTGGTAGGAAGCGCCTTTGTAAAGAGATCTGCTGCATTGTCACTTGAGTGGATGTATTGAATATCAATTTCTTTATTCTTCTCGAGTTCTTGAGTATATGAGAAGAATCTTGGAGGAATATGTTTTGTTCTGTCGCTTTTGATATAACCTTCTTTTGTTTGGGCAATGCATGCAACGTTATCTTCATACAAGATTATTGGTTCTTTGCTTTTGTTTATTCCAGTGGTTTCTTGAATGTGTTGAGTCATGGATCTGAGCCATACACACTCTCTACATGCTTCATGTAGTGCAATGATCTCTGCATGATTTGAGGAAGTGCTGACTAAAGTCTATTTTTGTGAACACCATGATATTGCAGTTCCTCCAAATGTGAAAACATATCCAGTTTGGGATCTAGCTTTATGAGGATCCGATAAATATCATGCATCTGCAAAACCAACTAGACCATACGCAGAGTTTCTAGAATAATATAAACCCAAATCAATTGTACCTTGAAGATAGCGGAATATGTGTTTTATCCCATTCCAATGTCTTCGAGTAGGGGATGAGCTGTATCTTGCAAGCAAATTAGTAGCAAAATCAATATCTGGTCTACTACAATTTGCAAGATACATAAGTCCACCGATAGCACTCATATAAGGTACTTCGGGACCAAAAACTTCCTCATTATCTTCACAAGGTATGAATGGTCACATGTATGTCTATTGACAACACGAAATACGGCTTTCGCAAAATTTATTACCCAAATGATCAGGTTGAAAGCACAATTCCCTGATCATGCCATAAAGAAAGTTAGACTTGATAATGCTGGTGAATTCACTTCAAAGGCTTTTAATGACTATTGTATGTCAATGAGCATCCGGTCCCTCATGTTCATACACAAAATGGCATGGCTGAGTCTTTGATTAAACGGCTGCAACTCATTGCAAGACCGTTAATACTGAGAACAAACCTTCCAATTTCTGTATGGGGTCATGCTATATTGCATGCTGCGTCATTAATCCAGATAAGACCGAGCGCATATGATAAACATTCCCCTTTACAATTTAACATCTGGTCAGGAACCAAATGTATCTCATCTCTGAGTTTTTGGATGTGCGGTTTATGTTCCTATAGCCCCACCGCAAAGAACAAAAATGGGGCCACAACGGAGATTGGGAATATACGTTGGTTATACGTCACCAAGTATAATTCGATATCTTGAACCACAAACTGGTGATATGTTTATGGCACGTTTTGCCGATTGTCATTTTAATGAAAGTGAATTTCCAGCATTAGGGGGAGCAATTAAGCAAATTGCTAAAGATATTACATGGTCTACACCATCTTTGATATCTCTTGATCCCCCCCACAAAACAACGTGAACTGGAAGTGCAGAAAATTGTACATTTACAAAATATGGCAAATCAATTACCAGATGCGTTCACAGATACCAAAAAGGTGACAAAATCATATATCCCCGCTGCAAATGCACCATCAAGAATTGAAATTCCCAGAAAGGAGTTCGATGGGAGCAAAGCTAATGAATCCAATGTTCAATTGAAACGCGGGAGGCCAATGGGCTCTAAAGATAAAAATCCCCGAAAGAAAAAGAAAATGGAAGAGAAGAATGAAAAAGTTCAAGAAGAACTAAGTCAAGAGAAAATTCCTCAGGACGATACAGAAAAATATGAGATTTCTATCAATTATGCCCAAGATAGAAAAATATGGGATAGAAATGAAATCGATGATGATAATGGAATATTCTCTTTTTCTGTATCTAAAGAGATCGATTATGAATATGATGATCCAGATCCAAGGTCCGTATCAGAATGTCAGAAAAGACCGGATTGGGAAAAATGGAAAAGTGCTATGAAAGTAGAATTGCTCTCTCTCAATAAAAGAAACTTTTTTGGACCTATTGTCACTACATCTGAAAATATAAAACTTGTCGGGTGTAAATGGGTTTTCGTGCGGAAAAGAAATGAGAAAGATGAGATTACACGATATAAAGCCCGCCTTGTTGCACAAGGATTTTCTCAAAGACCTGGAGTTGATTATGAGGAAACATACTCTCCGGTCATGAATGCAATTACATGCAGGTACTTAATGAGCCTATCGGCATCTAAAAGTTTGGAAATGTACCTTATGGATCTAGTGACAGCATATTTATATGGATCACTTGATAATGACATTTACATGAAAATCCCTGAAGGATTTAAAATTCCCGAGGCCCTTGACTCAATGTCTAAGGATATATGTGCAATCAAATTACAGCGATCACTTTACGGATTAAAACAATCCGGACGCATGTGGTATAATCGCCTAAGCGAATATTTGTTGAAAAAGGGGTATGTAAATGATAAAATTTGCCCTTGCGTCTTTATCAAGAAATCTCCATCGGGATTTGTGATCATTGCTGTATATGTTGATGACCTTAATATAATTGGGACTCAAAAGGAAATTGATGATGCAAGAACTCATATGAAAGAAGAATTTGAAATGAAAGACCTTGGAAAGACTAAGTTTTGTCTCGGTCTTCAAATAGAGCATCTTAAAGATGGAATATTTGTGCATCAATCAAATTATACCAAAAGGGTTTTAAAACACTTTAATATGGATAAAGAAAATCCTTTGAGTACTCCAATGGTTAATAGAACTTGAATGTTGATAATGATCCATTCAGACCTTGTGAAGATAATGAGGAAGTTCTTGGCCCCGAAGTACCTTATATGAGTGCTATCGGTGGACTTATGTGTCTTGCAAAGTGTACTAGACCAGATATTGCTTTTGCTACTAATTTGCTTGCAAGATACAGCTCATCCCCTACTCGAAGACATTGGAATGGGATAAAACACATATTCCGCTATCTTTAAGGTACAATTTAGGCCTGGGCATTCGGGTTCGGTTCTTTTTTTTCGGGTATCGGGTCTATTCGGGTAGGGGGTCAAGACCCATTCGGGTATTCTAAAAATTCGGTTCGGGTTCGGTTTGGGTTCGGGTCGGTTCGGGTATTTTAATAAAAAAAAAGTAAAATACCCGAAAATAATCAAAAATACCCGAAATATTTTTGGGTTCGGGTCGGGTTCGGGTTTTTAACTCATATATACCCAAATCTAACCGAAATACCCGATTTTTCGAAAATACATTGGTTACTCTGTACCCAAATATAACCAAAAATATCTAAAATACCTAATATATTCGGATTTATGATTATAATTTTAGGTATTTCGGGTATTATAAATATAAATATAACTAATATTTTTAGGTGTATATTTGTATTCGGGTACATTCGGGTATTGGATTCGGTTCGGGTTCGGTTCGGGTTTTTTACGGGTAGGAGGTTAGGACCCATTCGGGTATTTTTAAAAATCGGGTTCGGGTTCGGTTCGGGTATTGTTCGGGTTTTTCGGTTCGGGTATTCGGTTCCGGGTATTTTGCCCAGGCCTAGTACAATTGATTTGGGTTTATATTATTCTAGAAACTCTGCGTGTGGTCTAGTTGGTTTTGCAGATGCAGGATATTTATCGGATCCTCATAAAGCTAGATCCCAAACTGGATATGTTTTCACATTTGGAGGAACTGCAATATCATGGCGTTCACAAAAATAGACTTTAGTCGCACTTCCTCAAATCATGCAGAGATCATTGCACTACATGAAGCATGTAGAGAGTGTGTATGGCTCAGATCCATGACTCAACACATTCAAGAAACCACTGGAATAATCACCAGCAAAGAACCAACAATCTTGTATGAAGATAACGCTGCATGAGTTGCCCAGACAAAAGAAGGTTATATCAAAAGCGACAGAACAAAACATATTCCTCCAAGATTCTTCTCATATACTCAAGAACTCGAGAAGAACAAAGAAATTGATATTCAGTACATCTACTCAAGTGACAATGCAGCAAATCTCTTTACAAAGGCGCTTCCTACCACATCATTCAAAAAAGCATATTCAGAGTATTGGAATGCGACATTTACGAGATCTTTGAGGAAAAAATTATATCTGTCTTTTCCAGGGAGAGTATGTGTTACTGTACTCTTTTTTCCTTGTCATGGATTTTATCCCAATGGATTTTTCCATGAAAATGTTTTAAACGAGACAGTATGTCATACATCTATGGTGATGAATACTCAAAGGGGAGTGTTATAAAATATATGATTATTCATCACACAAACCTACCAACTCATCTTTGTTGAATCCTTTTTACCTTGTGATATAAATAATTATCCCATTAGCCACCCCCTAATATTAGCCATCATTAGCTATCCCACTAATGCATCATTATATGTTGTATTGGGAGAAAAAAATTGAAGAAGTAATAAGAGAAACAAATCTACTCTCTAAACTCTCTCTAAACTCTACTTCCTATCTCTATCTTAGTTTCCAAAATCATATAACATTTATATACATATTTATCTCCATAATTTTTAGTTCTTTAACAGATAGGTTTGTGTGATAAATAATCATATATTTTATAACAAGAGAAATATAAGTATCACAAAAAGTTTTGTATTTTTCTTGTTTGGTACCTGGGCCACAGTTTTTTCCTTTGCTTCTGCTATTTCTTTGAGAACGTCAGATTCCATAATTTTGGGAGTTCCCCAAAAAGCCCCTCTAGATCCCAACACCGAATAAGCTGTGACAACAATGTCGTTCGAACTACAAAGCTCCCTTAGTTTTCGTTGTTGCCATATTGGACTCATCTCGACCTTGTTGATATTCATCCATAAACAAATAAAAATAAAAGGTGAATTGTTGTGTTCAATTCAACTGTTTGCTAAAAAATAAATCAAAGAGTAAAAAAAACAGTTTTTACCTGATTGACGCTAGGCGGGATTTTCGCGAGAGAGAGGATGTGTTGAAGCTTCTTACAAGAAAAGTTGCTTACTCCTATACACTTTGCAAGCCCGAGTCTTTGGCACTCCTCCATTTCAGACCACACTACTTCGAAATCCATTGGCAAAAAATCATCTTCATCAATGGGAAACTTGTATTTACCAGGTTTCGAGCTAACCGGCCAATGAATTAGATAAAGATCAAGATAGTCCAGTTTAAGGTTTCTGCAAAACCATATTTGTTACATAGATGATTTACATTAAGTTATGTTACTCCAATAATAATATTCAATCATGAAACATTATTGACACCTACTCTTAGAGCTTGAAACAGTTCATTGATATACATAGGCTTGAACCAAAATATTCGAGATCTTATATAAGACCCGACCCGCTTTGAAAATAAGGTGTTCATAGTACCATAATAATTTGAGTTAAAGATTAAGAAATGCGGATCCACTATATAATCTTACGTATAAAGTGTTTTGAAAAGTGGAGTAATTTTTAGAATATCACTGATGAATATAATCTAAAATATTCCTAAAAATCAGTTTGTAATTTTTTTATGTGACAATTTTATTTTATCTTACTTCAAACTCCGTTTGATCGCCGGTACGACGAGACCACCATGAGCATCAGCACACCAAAGCTTGGTAGTGACAAAGAATTCAGATCGAGATCGAACTAAGCCAAGAGAAACCGCCTCCGCCAAAGCTTCACCGATTGGCTCTTCCGTTTGGTACCTCGGCGACGTGTCGAAATGGCGATAACCGAGCTTGATGGCCTCAATCACCGTCTCTTTCAGCATCGTTGGTTCCGGTATCGGAGAAGCGGCTGTTCCAAAACCAAGAACCGGCATCGAGTGATGACCGGATGGTCCGGATCTGATGGCGAGCGTGGGGACTGAAGTGAAAGACATTGGTTCAACAGAAGAGCCAAAAAGTCAACGGATGTGTAATGGTTTCTCGGTGGCCCAAACCTATAGTCAGTAGCCACATGAGTGATGCTATAACGCTAATGCTAATACTATATTAATATTACTTTCGAAAATTAAAAAATTACATAGTGCTATATTCGACCATATTCGACCATAGTGCTATATTTTTTTACGGGAAAAGAAAAGAATATATTGAACTTTAAATATTCGCCAAATATAATACTCATACTATTTATTAATAATTTAAATTAAAAACTTTCTAAAGAGTAATTAGATCTTCACTAAGAACATCTTCAATCCATTTTTCCATTTTCTCATTCAAAGAGTAATTCTAGTTTAGAGTCTTTTTCCAATCCGAATTTATTCTCGAATAAAAAATAAAGATTTTCAAAATTTAATATAAACAGAGATAAATTGGAAATGTTATAACGACATTAAAACAAATTCCGTTTTCATTTGATCCCAAAATCCCCAATCAAAACTCAAAATCCATTTAGTAAAATTACATTAATATTTGGATACTGTAAAATCATACATATATGGAATCATAGAATATAATTCAAAATAAGTCAAATTAGAATACAAAAAAGAAAAATAAAAGCTTACAATGGAACAAACATGATTCTTGACAGCAATTGATCTAGGTATGGTTTGGTTCAATTTTGAGTTTAATTTATAAAACAAAACCGAAGTTTGAATTAACAAAATAGAAATTTGAATTATTTTTTATAAGTTTGGTACTTAAATTGTTAACAATATTTTTTTTTTTTGGAAAACTTTGAAAGAATGTTATGTTCTGTAATTTGTGCATAATTTCAAAATTATAATATTTAAATCATTAATTAATGAATTAATATAAGTTCGGCTTTTTCTATTATTATTTTTTTTTTCAAAAGCATGTCACGTAGGGAGCATTAACACCGTGTGGAAAATGGTACCAAGTGAGCTAACCTTTTAGCTTCATAACATACACCGACGTCGTTTCAACTCTTCATCTTCATTTTTTCTGTAACTTGTCCCATTTTTTTCTTCCCAAAAATATATAAAAAAATGAGATTTCTTCTCCATCTAACGACTTTAAGCTTCTTCTTCTTCTTCTTCTTCTTCTTCACAGTGAATCCAATCTCAGCCAAATTCTACTCCAACGTCTCTTCAATTCCACCGTTACAATTCCTAAACGCAACACAAAACGCATGGGAAACATTCTCCAAACTCGCCGGTTGTCACATCGGAGAAAATATCAACGGTCTCTCAAAACTCAAACAATACTTTCGCCGTTTCGGTTATATCACCGGTACCAATAATTGCACAGACGATTTTGATGACGTACTTCAATCGGCGATCAATACTTACCAGAAAAATTTCAATCTCAAAGTCACCGGAAAACTCGATTCGTCGACTCTCCGGCAAATCGTTAAACCGAGATGCGGGAATCCGGATATGATCGACGGAGTTTCGGAGATGAACGGTGGAAAAAAGCTTCGTGCGACGGAGCGGTACTCGTTTTTCCCCGGGAAGCCACGGTGGCCGAAACGGAAACGCGATCTGACTTACGCGTATGTGCCGCAGAATAATCTAACCGACGAGGTTAAACGCGTGTTTGCACGCGCCTTCACGCGTTGGGCGGAGGTGACTCCGTTGAATTTCACGCGCTCTGAGTCTCTCCTCGGAGCTGATATAGTGATCGGATTCTTCTCCGGTGAACATGGTGATGGAGAGCCGTTTGATGGAGCTATGGGAACATTAGCGCACGCTTCGTCTCCTCCAACGGGGATGTTACATTTAGACGGTGATGAGGATTGGTTGATCTCTGACGGTGAAATTAGCCGTCGGGTTTTACCGGTGACGTCGGTGGTGGATCTTGAATCGGTGGCGGTACATGAGATCGGACATCTTTTAGGGTTAGGTCACTCGTCGGTGGAAGATGCGATTATGTTTCCGGCGATATCTGGTGGAGATCGGAAAGTGGAGTTAGCGAAGGATGATATTGAAGGGATTCAGCATTTGTACGGAGGAAATCCGAACGGAGACGGTGGTGTTTCGAAGCCTAGCCGGGAGAATGAATCCACCGGTGGCGCTGGTGATAGCGTTCGTCGGTGGAGTGGGTTGGTGTTTATCCTATCATCGATTGCCACGTGTCTATGGTTGATTTGTGTTTAGATGTTATGCAGGTTATATTATACCTTTATTCCCTTTATTTTGGGGTCATCGATTATGTCATTTCTAAAAGTAAAGATTTTATTATACTTTTATTCCCTGAAATACTGTAATAAGGTATTAGCATTCTCTGGAATTTGGAACCTCACTTTATGAAATTTATTTTCTTCGGTTCTATATAGTTTATATAGTTTATAGTGGACAAACTAGGCCTGGGCATTCGGTAATAACCGAGAAAACCGAACCGAAAGAACCGAGTTTTTCGGTTTTCGGCGCTGAGTTTGAGAGGGACAGCGAATCGATCGGGAAAAATCTCTATACTATTAAAAGAGAAGTACAAATGAAAATGGGTCAGGTTAAAATCAGAAAATTGACCCGAAATTCTGAAATCGGATCTTTGAATTTTTTTTGGAATATAAATTCGAATTAATAATGAAAAATCGAAATAAAATCACATATTTATGGAAATCAAATAAAATCTGATTGTACTTATGGTAACTAATAATAAAAGCATATTCCGAACAATAATATACATTAATTACGTATAATAAATTTGTTCATATATTTTTGGGACTAATTCCATAACAATCAACGTTTTTGATAAATTAAATTGATATTTTTATTTTGGTCGTGTAAATTAACCCATCTGTTTTATAAATTAAATTGATATTTTTATTTTGGTTGTGTAAATTAAATATATATTTTTATTTTTGTCCTGTAAATTAAATACATATGAAATTCATGTAACTAATTTTAATTTAATTAGATTAAATCGAAATTATGAATTTATGATATTTTCATACCTATAGCTTACCAAAGAAGTTTAATTTTCAATTTATAAAGATTTTTTGAATATGATTTTAGAATTATTCAACAAGATGATAAGTATTTATTAAATTTTGTGAATCATGAAAAATAATAATTAATTTTTAATCATTATACTTCATCTTTCAATCTCTCATCTAACAAATAAGATACATATTCTATTATTACTATGTCCAAACTTCATTTTGTTGTATGACTAAATAATATTCCAATTAGAACTGTCAAAGCGAGTTGATTCATCCCGTTAAGTCCGTTTTGCGATAGACAAAAAATATTTTGACTTGTGTTAGTCGGTCCGCACGACCCGCGGATAGCATATATGAAATACAAACCGTCCCACGAATGTATGCGAATTTGCGGGATTGTCCATGGATTTTGTTTAAATAATTTTAAAGTAACCAAAATTTAAAATACTACTAAAATAAATAAAAATACTATTAAAAGTTTGTTTAAATTACCACATGTTGAATAAATTATAATTTTATCAATAAATACCAGTGTTCAAGAAAGCGCTAGACGCTAAGCGGGCGGTGACCCAGTGCCTAGCGCCTAGAACGCTTAATCGGAGCCTAGGCGATTTTTTAGGCGGTTTAGACGTTTATAACATAAAACATTATAAATATGATATTATATATAAAAGTTATATAAAATATCTATATAAAACTAAAATTATGAAATTATAAACAAAAACTAGATAAAATATTTATTTATATATATATTAAATAATATAAGAATATTTATAACTATATATATAAATAAAACTCTAATTAAAATTAAAAAGTATATATTAAACAAGATGTATGTAATTTTAGGCGGTCAAGGCGGTTATCTAGGTGTCGCTGGAGAGCCTAGAGCCTAGTCGGGGCCTAGGCGACCGCCTAGACCGCTTTTTAGAACACTGATAAATACTAATATGCGGGCTGATCCGCCAATCCGCGGATGAAAACCGATTAAACCTATGACCCACTGCGAATTAATCCATGTGGCCCGCTTATTTGCGGGTTTAATATATTTTCCCAAATCTTCCCCATAGTGAGATGATGTGGGTTCGACCCGCGGTTTTTGACCTATTTTGACTGCTCTAATTCCCATGAATCGTCTAATTTTAGAATTTTAAAACACAAAATTCTATTTTGTAAATCATAATTAATACGATGGGTATATTTATAAACAATTTTACATTTTCTCTATAATTCGTTATTATGAATATTTATAAGTATACTACACGATTCGTTCTACTAAAAACACACACAATATTAAACGCAATGTATATAAACCAATATTCTCCCGCGGTGGACCGCAGGTCCGATCCTAGTATTTTGGAAATTCGTTTATCACTTCGGTTCGGTTCGGCAAGCCATAACCGAACGGTTATTCGGTTTTCTTCTAAGCATCACCTATACTCGAATTTTTCTCAAGTTTTTAGTGAGTTGCAGGTTTGCAGCGGCGGCCGTAGAAGATGTGGAAAAAATTAATTTTAGTATTAGAAGGAAGAAGAAGATAAACACGTGAAAAGCTCGTGACTTTTAAATATGAAATTGTGGGCATCGATTTTAACAGGCCTAGAATAATTGGAGGCCTATTTTTATATGTAGCAAATGGCCCAAAATTAGGTAAAAGTAAAACCCACGATTATTTCATAAAACAAAAAAAAAACCCTACAACAATCTTTTTCATCCATTCAGCTTCTCCCAGCCGCCTATCTTTCTTCCTCTTTTTGATATTGTAGCGAAACATTGTGATTTTCCTTTGGGAAATGTTTGTCGGCTACACGAAAGAGACGTCATCACATAGTCACACATGCAGACTTTAAAAATGTTTCGTTAGCTACACGAAGTATTGACATTACATACGGACATCCCTGAACTAACATAAGTTATGTTGCAAACATCATAACCATCTAATTCTAGTGATTTGGTTGCCGAAATCCGGCATTGACCGGCGTTGACCAAAAATATTTTCAAAAAAATAATTTTTTTTTTAATTTTTTTTGATAAAAAAATTAAAACAATTATTACATAATTTTACTAAAAAATATAACAAAATATACCAAAGTTAAATATAACAAAATATACCACAAAAAAAATACAACAAAATTTTGGTATATATTTTTGTAATATAACTAAATATACCACAAAATAGTCCAGAAATTTTATTTTGTCTTATATTTATTTATAAAATTTTGGTAATATAACAAAATTCACTTCTTTTTTTTTGAAAATCATTTTTTGTGGTATTCAACATCGAACAACCGAGAAGGAAAAAAAAATATTTTATGGTAAAAAAATGATTGTCAAAAAGAAAATGTATATTTTGCTATATTACCAAAATTTTATTAACAAAATATACATTTTTCTTTTGGAATTTATTTTTTGTGGTATTCAACGACGAACAACCGAGAAGAAAAATATTATATTTTGGTAAAAAAAATGATTGACAAAAGAAAAATGTATATTTTGTTATATTACCAAAAGTTTATTAACAAAATAAAACACAAAAAAAATTTGTGCTATATTTTCTTATAAAATTTTGGTCATATAACAAAATATACCTTTTCTTTTTAGCAATTAATTTTTTTATAAATTCAATGGTCTGTTTTCTTTTAAAAAACAAAATCTATCTTTGATATAAATATATAATATGTAATTGAAAGTATATACCATATATAAATATATAATATGTAATTGAAAAATGTATATTTTGTTGATAAAATTTTGGTAATATAGCAAAATATACATTTTCTTTTTGACAATCATTTTTTTACCATAAAATAATATTTTTTCCTTCTCGGTTGTTCGATGTTGAATACCACAAAAAATGATTTTCAAAAAAAAAAAGTGTATTTTGTTATATTACCAAAATTTTATAAATAAATATAAGACAAAATAAATTTTATGGACTATTTTGTGGTATATTTAGTGATATTACAAAAATATATACCAAAATTTTGTTGTATTTTTTTTGTGGTCTATTTTGTTATATTTAACTTTGGTATATTTTGTTATATTTTTAAGTAAAATTATGTAATAATATAAAAAAAATTAAAAAAAAATTATTTTTTTGAAATTATTTTTGGTCAACGCCGGTCAACATCGGTCAACGCCGGTCAATGCCGGATTCCGGCAACCAAATCACTAGAATTGGATGGTTATGGTGTTTGCAACATGACTTATGTTAGTTCAGGGATGTCCGTATGTAATGTCAATACTTCGTGTAGCTAACAAAACATTTTTAAAGTCTGCATGTGTGACTATGTAATGACGTCTCTTTCGTGTATCTCGCAAACATTTTCCCTTTTCCTTTTGCTGCTTTTGCTTCACATCTCTCTTTTTTTTTTCTCTCCTCTTAATCTCACAGATCTTTGGGTTCTTTTATCTTTATTTTGTCTCTACTCTTATTTTAACAGATCGACTTTACTAACTCTTTTCTAGCAACCTTCAATACTTAATCATCTTTCACATTTCATCTCGCTGCCAACGTCAAGCTAAGTCCATTTGTTACGACAGTTCACGCGGCGAGCAAGCTAGGAACGGTCGTCGGTCATCGTCGTTGTGGTTAAGCAATTTTGGTCTTTGTCAAACACCTTAAATTTTTATGGGTTTGAGTTTGTTATTAGGTTTGGCCCATTTTTTTAATTGATTTGTAATTGTTAAGGTGTTAATTGAGCCCATTATATTTATTTTGGTCTAATTCGGTTCGAATTAACCGAATAAAAAAAAACTTCGGTTTATTTCGGAATTGATTTTAAATCGTATAACCGAACCGAAAAAAACCGAGTTCCGAATCGAACCGAACCGAACTTTTATTCGGGTCAATTCGGCAGAATTTTAGAAAACCGAAAAAACCGGAAAACCAATTAAACCGTTTAAACCGAGTGCCCAGGCCTAGGACAAACAATTCTCATGGCTCCTTTAAACTACAACTAGTTGACCATTTTCATATTCCTGAATGAAGAAAATCTCTTCCCTAATGCATACCCATGCGTCATCATGGGGCGTGTTCTTTTGCGTGTCATGCGATTAGTAGTCAGCGACTGTAATTTACAAAGAAAATGAGGAATTAACACCACCAAATTCTAGATCTCACGATATCAGTCGCTGAAAAGGCCAATAAAGAGAAGACAGGTGTCGCTGCTTTTCCAGCGGCAACGACGACACCAACTTTCTTTGATATTTTTAGTCGTTGTACTCTCGACTTCTTATGACGGTGACACTAAAGGAGATAAAAGTTCAGAAAAACAATGAATTTTGTTGTCGCTAACGTCGATCGCGCGACACATAAAAGAACACGCCCTAATGGCGACACCTGAACCATGAGTCATTGGCCTTATGGT